CATCTACCACCCCATCACTCCCCATCCCCTCACTCTGCTTTATTTTTCCTCATATTATCACCACCCCAAATAAGATACATATTTCTTGTGTATTTATCTGTGGCTTGTCTCCCCCACTAGAACGTGATCCCCACCTGCCAGGGAAATTATCTTTGTTCTCCATTTTGTTTTCTGTGCTTAGAATAGTACAAACACATAGCAGGTGCTAACATCACATACATATTATCTCATTTAATCTTGATCCAGCCTTTTTTTCTTTTTTCTAAAGGAAAGGAGTGTGAGGAACCACATATCACACAGTCATTAAGTAGCAAAGCTGAGACTTTAACCTAGTAGTGTGTGTGTCCAGAGCTCAGATTTCCAATTACTGTATTTTTCTCTCCTCTAGGGAAACTGAAACCTTGTCTCTGACCTTTGTCTATGCATCTGTCCTCCTGTAAATTCTCCAGGAAAACCTTTTGGTTTTGTTGGTATGATTTTTCTTCCTCGTCTTATATTCATACATTATTAGACATCATTAACCTGAGGAACTGGATGTAGAATGTAGTGACAGGTTTCAACAGTGCTGTCCACATATGCATTGACGAGCCCAGGGCCATCATTTAGTTAATGTTGATGAAAATATATTTTGATTGCTGCAGAACTGTGCTGCTTTGGGTTCGTTTTGGGTCCATCTATGCTAAGTGGTAACTGAAGACTTTGCAGAGTAAAAACCGGTGCAACAACTGACAGGAAGTCATCCTTTCGTACAGCTCACTTTGAGGATGGAAGTCGATCTCAGAGGAACAAACACAGTCTTTCTATGTGCTTTGCCTCCATTTCAGCTCAGTTCCCCAAAATCTCCTTGAACTCTTACTTCTTATCATGCCCTGCGTGCAGAGCCAAGGATACTGTCCTGATTACTTATTGCTGTATAAATGGCTACCTCAGAGTTGGTGTGGAACAACCACCATTTTACTTTGCTTTTAAATTCTGTGGGTTAATAGTCCACGCAGGGCCCCCAGTAGAGATGGCTTGTATTTCCTTGATATCTGGGCCTCGGCTGGGAAGACCTCGCAGTGGCTGGAGAGGCTTAGACACCTGAGAAATGGAATCTTCTGAAGGTTTCTTTCCTCACATGTCTGGTGCTTAGGTTGATACTCCTTGAAGGCTGGGCTCAGCTGGGTCCTTGACTGGACTTATGTACTCATGTCTGGCCATGTGTCTTCAGCTTTGCACAGCATAGCAGTTGGGTTCTAAGAGATAATCTCTTGAGATGGGTCATCCAGATAACAAGCATTCCAGAAGCTGACAGACTTCTGACCTAGCCTTGGAAATCATATTACATCATGCTACATTCCCTTGGTTAGATACATGTTTTTAAGGGCAAATCCAGATTCAAAAGGAGGATAATTAGACTGGACTCCTTGATGGGGAATGGTGAGGTTACCTTGCAAATATCATGTTTTGGACATTCTTGGAAATTCTTCCATAGACACAGAAAAAAAAAAAATTTATACTACCTGTGAGGACTGGAAGTTGATCACCGGAAGAGAGGCACATCAGGTTTCTATCAGGCAGCTTCATTACAGCATACACATTATGTCTATAAACAGGGTTATTTGCTCTGCCTTGTGTTTCCATCCCAGTGTTCAATTAGCAATTGTTATAGACCTATCACCTTGCTGTGATGACTCACTGTGTGAGTTCTGGTGTTGCTTTGGAGCTTAGACTGTGTTTGTTTGTATTTATTTTCAATGTTGACCCCCAGCCTCGTTTGCCTGGCTAATTCCCATTCAGTCTTTTAATTACATGTCACTTCCTCCAGGGAGGCTTCCCTCATTCTTGCCTGGATTATGTTCCCCTTTTGTGTATTACTATATCTACCACATGTCATCTGGGATCAGAAGGGCTTGCTTTTGTCTCTAGATTGTAGGCTTTATGAAGGCAGGACCAGTGTGTGTCTTAGCCTTTGTAACCTGTTCCTACCACTTAAGAGGTCCTAAATAATTACGTACTGGTAAAAAAAGCTGCTTTTTAAATCTTTTATCGAGTGTCTGATCTGCAGGGATAAAAGGCAATCAAGGGCAGGGAGAGGGCCACAAGGTTAGCATGATCTCTTTCTCTTCCTTCCCCATACTCTTTCTTTTTTCCTTCTTTTTAGTCTCCCTCTGCACTCAGAGAAGAAATCAATCATAGAAATCGCCCAGCATACTTACCTGTACCCATTGGGCCCCCAGCTCTGTAAGGAGGGCAGCGGGGAAGTATCTGGCATTATTACATCCTTTATGGTGAGTTGACTCTGCCAGCAACAAAGAAAAAAGAAGTCAGCCACTCACAGTGTGATCCAGAAAGTGTACCCCCACTGTAGGCAATGAGGCGGATAAAGCTTCGGATCTTCCTGTGCTCCAGGGATTTTCGTGTTAATACAGATTCCTAGGAATACTCATCAGAGAGCTGGGGTGTCAGAGACCTATTGTAAGCCTCTTTCCATCTCAATAAATACGTACTTTAATATTTTGAAGGTGGCATTTCCTTGGTTAGTTGGCCTAGCAAAAATGTTTATTATAATTTTCATAGTCCCAGCCTAGTTAATTTTTTTTTAAAAAGCTAACAATTTTTTCAGTATATGCTATATTGTGGGTCCTTAGCAAACATTTCTAATTATATTTTTCTTAATATTGTTCCACAGCGGGGCGCCTGGGTGGCTCAGTCGGTTAAGCGTCTGCCTTCGGCTCAGGTCATGATCCCAGGGTCCTGGGATGGAGTCCCACATCGGGCTCCCCGCTCAGTGGGAAGCCTGCTTCTCCCTCTCCCTCTATCTGCTGCTCTGCCTACTTGTGCTCTTTCTCTCTCTGTCAAATAAATAAATAAAATCTTAAAAAAAAAAATATTGTTCCACAGCCAGGCAGGTAGTATAATGTCTGCTTTAAAGATGGGTAAATGGAGTCTCGGAAGCATTAAGAGGATGACTGGTATCTCCGATCAGCTGCTTGTGGGGGGCCTGTGGTTCAGACTCAGTATGTCTGCCCCTGACTCTTCTATTTACCCACCTTAAGCACAAATGATTTCATTACAGCCTTGCATATACCCTTTCCCTCGATCCTCTAGTGTCTCTTTTTTAGAAAACAGTGAAGGGCATCAGAACTTGTCCCCTTAGCATCCTCTCAGCAACTTAGGCTGTGAAAAATTATATGCAATGTTGGCATATTAGTTTTCTAGCACTGCTTTAACAAAGTACCACACACTGGGTGGCTTAAAACAACAGAATGTTTTTCTTATGATTTTGGACGTCAGAATCCAAAATCGAGGAGCCAGTAAGGTCATGCTCTCTCCACAGGCTCCAGGGGAGAGTCTGGTGACTCCTGGCGTTCCTTGACTGTGGTTGCGGAATTCCAATCTCTGCCTCTGTCTTCGCATGACCTTCTTCCCTTTGTGTATTTTGATGGGTCTCCTCTTCTAATAAGGGCACCAGGCATTGAATTTAGGGCTCACTTTAACCGTGTATGTCCTCACCGTAACGAATTACATCTGCAGAAATCCGAAATGAGGTCACATTCTGAGATTTCAGTGGACATGCGTTTTGTGGAGGACCTTATCCAACGCTCTGCAGCTGGGTATGGAGGATGAATTCAGTAGGAATTTGAAGCAGCATGTTAGAAAGCAGGGGGATAGGACTAGCACATTTTCAAGGTCCTGTGTTTCCTTTGATTGTGGCCTCTCTTTCTTGGGGACCTTGTAAGTCAAATGAGACCCCCCAGAGCACCTGACAAGGAGTCACAATCACTGATTAAAAGGGAGGAAAAGAGACTTTGCCTTTTTCCAGTCTCTCTCTCCACCCGCCTCCTTTCCAGTTTCTTTTGTTTTTCTGTACCATCTCCTTGCTTCAGAAAGAGAAAGAACAACATATTCACACCAAGACTCCCGGCAGGAACAGGCAAACTTCTATGATAAAGGTAAGCGTTAACGCAGCACTACCTTTCTTGCTGTGTTTTACATTCAGACAGTTTTCTTCCGAGTTCCTTTGGGTAGCCGTAGAACCAGAACAGTCACAAGCCACCATCTTCACAGTGGAGAGAAAACGGGCCTCAGGAAAAGGGTCACTTTGGGTATGATTAGGAGATTATTACATAAAAGCAAAGTCAAACAACAGTTTTGCGTGTTTTATTCTCATATTGGATATTCCTATCGGACCAGGTGTTTTAAAAGAAGCCCAGAGACATGGACCACTGTTCAGTACTTCATCAAGTTTGTAGTTTAATGATGCATTTCTAAATTATCCCTGTGGAGCCAAATTAACATTTACTGAATCTGTATTACTTGGTTGGGGCGCTGCTAGACACTTTTCCATGCTTTCTCAGCTAATCTTTGCAACAGCTCTGTGTGATATGTCTTATTGCTTCTTTGCCAGCTTATATTAACTGAGCCTTCTTTGGAATCTCAAATGCGGGATTGTTTCTTTTTCCTTCTTTGACCTTAGAGGAAGTTTTCCCAACCTAGATGCTGTTGATGTTTTGTACTAATTAATGTTTTCTTGTGCTGGGCTTTCCTGTGCATTGTAAGATGCTTAGCAGCCTCCCTGGCCTGTATCCACTAGATGCCAGTAGCACCCCCCCCCAACCATGATAACCAAGGATATTGTCAGACATTGTCAAGTGTTTCCCGTGGGGAGGAGATGCAGAATTGCTCCCTGCTGAGAAACACTGCCTTGGAGCCTCCGTAGAAACCTTTGCAGGTCATGGAAAAGGCAATGTCCTTAGAGCAGCTCTTACCAGTCATGTGACTTGCATAAGACCCTGACTTCTCGGACCCTTAGTTTCTTTACCTGCAAAGCAGGGATAATGACACCCAACTTGCGGGGGTTGTTGAGATTTCAGCCTCACTAGGCGTAGAAACTGCTAGGTACATAGTAAGAGCCCCATACCTGGTAGTCTGTCATTCTTCTTTGGTGAGTCCCAACTTTTCCAACACTTGTGACGCCAACTTAAGACATGTGTCTCTCTTTCTCCCCCTGCCAACAGAGCATGATGAATGTGGCAGCGGGCAGCACAACTGTGATGAGAATGCCATCTGCACCAACACTGTCCAGGGACACAGCTGCACCTGCAAACCGGGCTACGTGGGCAATGGAACCATCTGCAGAGGTAGGCTTGCTGCCTTAGGGGTAAGCTGGGGGCCTCTGGCCTGCCTGGGCTCCTGGTACTCATGTGGCAGACCCTTTTCACCGTGGCGGTAGCTGAGCCTGGCCAGGCTTCTGTTCCTGGTCTGTCATCTGGTGAGGGCACTGTGCAGCAGAGAAGAAGAAAAATGCTTTACGTCCACATTTTGGATTGAATGCAGAAGGTAGGCCTTTGGGTGAGGGGCATTGTTTCACAACTGTGTATGGCTCTGTTTGGCTTTGCTTCTCGGCCTGAGTTTGGGAGGGACACTGTGATTGCTGATGTTCCCCGTGAGCTTTGCTCAGAGAGCAAGTGGGCACTGCCCGTGGCCATATTCGAGGTATCTGCTTGGGTAGGAGGCGTCAAGTCCCTCTCTCTCTGTGCTGAGCAGTTCAGCAATTCAGAGGCAGTGCCTTGGCTGCCATCTGCATTTAGAATAAAATTAAAATTGCTCCTGACGGCTTATGAGAGCCTTCAGAATCTGGGCTCTGGCTCCTCTCAGCTGGCAGGTCTCTCTCACTCACTCCTTCTACAACCAACATATTATTCCTCACTGTTTCTCAAACATGCCAACCACCTTCCCATCTCAGGGCTTGGCACTCTCTGTCCCCTCTGCCTGGATACTTCCTTGGGGTCTCTATGCAAGGGTCCCCTTGTCATAGCAACTTTGGTTGGCCAACCCTAAAATAGCACCCCTATTATTTCTTAGCCTCATACCCTACTTTATTTTTCCTTCACTAACACAATATGACAGAACATTATACATTTATGTGTTTGCTTCTGTACTGCCTGCCTCCCCACTGGAATAGAAGCTCTCTGAGAGCAACCACTTAGTTTTGACTCCCTGGTCTGTCCCCAGCAATTAGAACGATGCTTGGCACATTGTAGGCACTCAGTAAGTATGTGTTAACTTACTGAATTAACCAAAGAGGAAAGTGACAAGATTACACTGAAAAGGGGGCAAACGTACAAAAAAAAAACCAGGAAATAATCCTTTGAGTTAGGTATTATTGTAATTATCCCCGTTTTAGAGGTGACAGAACTGAGGCACAGAAAGGCTAAGTAACTTACCCAAAGACACACAGCATATTATCAGGACTCTTCTGCAGAGATGACATGCTGATGAAGAGAGAGAAATAATGTGCAATGACTAAGTAACCATAGTCATGCCCTCAACTGGGGAGAATTTTTAAAAATAGATTTTATTCTCGGCATGCCAACTGAGTAGGTGACTCTGTGGTTAAGCTTCCAACTCTTGGTTTTGGCTTAGGTCATGATCCTGGAGTCGTGGGTTAGAGCCCCGAGCTGGGCTCCACATTCAGCCTAGAGCCTGCTTAAGATATTGTCTCCCTCTGCCCCGCCCCACTGTGCTAGCTCTCTCTCTGTAGTAAATAAATAAATCTTTAAAAAATCGATTTTATTCTCTGTTGGTGAGGTTGGGGTAAACAGATTCATTATTTGTTTACATGACAGTGTAAATTGGTGAAACTTTTTAATGGCAATTTGAGAAAAATCTATCAACATTTAAAGTAAATCTGAAGAGTAATATGAGGATCCTCTTGATTCCATCAGTTTTACCTTCTGAAATGTATTCTAGGAAATGCACATGTCATGAGGGGGGTAATATGCACATACAGTGATGTTTTGCTGCATAGTTTGTATTCACTGAAAGCCAGCAACAACCAAAATGTCTGTCGGTAATGGAATGATTGATTTCACATATCATTTTGTGGAATAGAATACAGTGATTTAAAAGTCTATGTCTATGTATGTACATACACGTGTGCATGTGCATACACACACTCTGAAAGATCTCCGAGACATACTTTTGAGAAAAAAAATAAATCTATAGGACAATACCTATATTATCATCACATATCTAATTTATTATTTACAAATATATGCAGACTTATGTCAATGCGTAGAGGCTGGAAACATGCAAACTGTTCATTTTATTGTCTATGGGGATGTGTGTGTGGGACAAAGAACGTTGACCTCGATGAATTCAATGTTGTTTGCATCTTTTACAGTGGGAATTTACACATACAATATTTGTGTGTGTGTGTGTGTTTCAAGTTCCGTGAGGCAAATAAAAGTGCTAGTACTCAGGTTTTAAAAGAAGGCTGAAGATACTTACAAAGTAAAACAAAAAGACCTACATATTAATATAATTCTGTGGATTATCAAGCCCACTGCTGGTACTTGCATGCTAATGCTAGAAGTCTGAGGAGCACATAGGGATTTGACTGTAATGCATTTTTTTTTCAGAATTATGTTACCTCATAAAATATTAATTGCACTAGCTCCGTGAGTTTGTGTTTGCCAAACCCTCACATGTCTTTGTGCTCTGGAAATACATCTTCACTTAAAAGTTATGAATCAAGGACAAAAATTTTCTTAACGTGGTTCTCATGGTCATTTGTGTGGACATCAATAAGATAGAGAGAATCTCATGTTTTGTAAATATTGCCTAGGGGGGCAGTGCAGTGTAGTTGAAGGACTGGACCACAAGGTTACAGAATTTGGGGTTGGACAAGATTTCCTTGCTGGTGAGTTGTAACTTCTATAGTTTTACATACTAAAATTGGGTTAACATCACCATCTGTGTTTTTCCAACAATGTTATTGCAAAGAATTTTTAAAAGAGTGTATATGTGTATATATCTTAATGTGTTTTAAAATATCAAATGCTGTAAAATGTAAAAACAGGATCGGTAGTGGTACAATGAGGAGAAGGGGGAGGGGAGGAAGCAGTTGATGAGTTGCTTGAACCTCAGCTTTCTGACTGAAGTACCTAAATTGGTGTCTCAGTTTCAAGGCATACATTTTATAGTTAAGTTTTCCAACTGTAACTGAAACATTTACAGAGAGAGTTGGACAAGGATAACTAGACAACTTAACCAATTTTTTTTAAACATTTTATTTAGTTGAGAAAGAGAGAGAACGAGGGAGGAGGGGCAGAGGGAGAGAGAGAATCTCAAGCAGACTCCCCGCTGAGTCATGACCCTGTGATCATGACCTGAGCCCAAATCAAGAGTTGGCTGCTTAACTGACTGAGACACCCAGGTGCCCCAGAAAGATCCTCCTAAGTGAGAGAGAGAAAGATCCTTCAAAGTAAGTGAGCAGCGGGGGGGGGTCAGAGAAGCAGACTCCAGGCTGAGCAGGGAGCCCCCAATGTGGGAGTAGATCCCAGGACCCTGGGACATGAAGTGAGCTGAAGGCAGAGGTTTAAGGACTGAGACACCCAGGCGCCCTTGAACTATTTTTTTTAATGTATAAAAGCTCTTCTACAAGTGGTATTGTTCACAGAATTGACTACATCTGCCTAGAAATAAACACCATTAACACTATTCACAAGCAAAACACAAGGCAGCACTTTCTCAAACAATACTAATTGGTGTAAATTCTTTCAGATGGGCTTTTCTGGTGGCCAGTGCCCAGGGAAGGTGTTTTTTTTTTGGATTTTTTTTTTTTTTCACGTGGATGGTAAATACCCATTCAGCTTCAGCAGTCACAAAATATGTGCGAGCTGGCTTGCTGAGTGTTCGCATATGTTACCACATTAGGTCCACCATATCCCTGGAGGTTGATAGCATTGTTCCAGCTCACAGGTAAATCTTGAATAAGACATAGTTAAATCCAATTTAACCTGATTAGTGCTACTGTCTTTAGTTCCCTTCCTTTATCTTTTCCGTTTTTCTTCACTTTCCCCTTCTTCCTTTTCCTCCCTGGCTATTCATTATTTAACACTCTTTCATTTGTTTGTTTGTTTCCTTCTACAAAGAAGGGAAAGAGAGAGTAAAGAAATCAGAAAGGGAAGAGAGAGTACAATGGCAATCTATAATTTTTTTGATTTGCTCCCATTTTTTGATAGACTAAAATACTTTTGAAACTATGCAAGACTTGCTGCTAAAAGTTTGGGTTAAATGGACAAAACACTGGCAAACTGTTTCAGATCTGATTTGCACAACCTGACCTGAGGGTCGGGGTTGTTTGTGGGAATGTTGACCTGCTTTCCTTCCCAGTCCTGCATGGACCTGGATCTGAAGGTGGGCCTTGGGCAGCTGCCAGTTAGTAGGTGAAACCTTCTCCCTTGTCTGTCCCTTAGGGCTGGATGAGATGTGATGATCCTTGAGAACATTCTTGTCTTAATGACTGATAATATTGACATTTATTTTATAAACATAGAGTAAGTGTGAATTCTGTGTCCGGAGCGTAGTTCTGGGCACCAAAAGAGTAAAAGGCAAATAAGACAAGGTCTCTGGAGACATCACCATTTAGTGTGTGTGGAGGGGGGAAAGATGTGAACAGATGATTCCCACCCAATATAACTTATTACAGAATGGTATTATGTGTAAGAGGCTTACAAAAAAATATTCAAAATATAGAGCCACGTGAAAGGCATTATTATGTGTTAGTTAGGACTCCTTTGGTTGCAAATAAGAGAAATCTAGCAAGCCTGGCTATGTAATTGTTAGAGCCCAGAGTAAAATGAGAGTGTGGGGAAAAAAAGGAAAAGTCTTCTGTTTAAGAGCACTAAAATATAAAGTTCTTGCCTGCCTTTTGTAGTCGCTTCTGAACTTATCAAGGTGTTTTCTATTTGCTATTTAAAGTCACTCCCCAGGGTGCTTGGGGAGCTCAGTTGGTTAAGTGTCTAACTGGTTCTCCCTCTCCTTCTACCTCTGTCCCTCCCCCCCATTAATTAAAAAATAAAGTCACTCCCTTGGCTGCGGGGATACTCTTAAGGTGAGTGCAGATGCTCAGAGAAGTTTCAGACCTATCCCCTAACTTGACACATGCACTTGGCCCACTGACCACAGGGCTCCTCTCTGCCGGCACTAGTGCAGTGTGACCTGGCTGGGGTAGGGAGGTTGAACCAGTTATCTCCCCTTCCTTTGAGCCCTGCACCCCAATCCACAACAGATGGGCAACCCAAGGGACTGCAGTCTCCCCAGCAGTTCCCTGCATCACATGCAGAATGCGCCT